GAAGCAAATAGTTCTCCAACGTTTCGACGTAATCGTCGGCCTTAGACCTTCCAAGCTCGCGTGCAATGGCCCCGTTGGAGTATCCGGCCTTGCAGAAGGCCAAAATGGCGCCTTTTTCAGCAGGAGAAAGTTGAGCGTCTCTACCCATCCTATGGCATTGATATTGTTCGTTGTCGTAGTGTATTTGTATGTAAAAGTGCTTACCAATCACGTGACAAAAGTCTGTTAGCTGTGTGTGGGGTGTAGTTGCTGCTTGGAGTCTGAAGTGCAAGTGGCTTTATTTACCTGGCGCGGTCAAAAATCGTTCTTGTTGCAGTCTACAACGCTCAACTCAACCAATTGACCTAAAATTCTATGTGATAACTCCACCAGTCAAGCTCGTTACACTGTTGCATTTTGTGGAGCAGAAGTCGTGATTGGCGGAATTTTTCTCTTGAATAATAGGGTGGCTTTATCCACCTGGCGCGCACTGTAACTACCTATGACCAACTGAGCGCATCGAACAGCATCCACTCGATGGGGCACGGTGCTAAGGTCACTGCATCACCAAGATTGAGAGTCTTGCATGAAGAGACTTCTCCTCCCCCTCGCCATGGCAATCACAGGATGACGCAAAGAGCAGTACAAATTGGTTTGTTCGACAAGGACTTGCAGAGCAGTTTTCGTTACCACCACCACCGCCCGCATTGGACACGAATGGAACTGCACCAGTCTTGACGTGCCACAGCTCCTTCGACGACGCTGACATTGAAGTCCATGGACTGGAGGACGGACATCTTCAGGTGGTCGTGCGCAGCCGCGCCTCCTGACGGTGTAAAGGTTTCAAAGACGACGTGGAAGGCGTCGAAAGAGATGACAACAGCTCGGGACATTTGGTCGGTTGACTCGACGAAGAGGGACAAAACACTCTTCACACCGACAAGTGTCCCATCGCGACTGGCGCGGCCGTTGGAATGTGTACGAAGAGCGCCTTGGCATCGAGTGGTGCAACCTATTACGTTTTCACCGAGTCAAGGGCCCGGGCGGGTGTACTTCGTGGACGCAAGGACAAGTCTTGTTTGAGACTTCATTATCATGACTACAACACTAGATGACCCTTTCTTAAGTCTCCCACGATGATGCCAACCTCGCCAGACAAAGAGCTTGCAGCCAGCGGTAGCCTCGCAGTCCCCGCAGCACTTGTCGGCCGAGGCTTGGGACGTTGACGCAAGATCGTACCCGTAGTAGTCTGTGTTGCGAGTTCAACACGATTTCCAACTTTTCGACACACTACGTCGGCTGCATCAACACCAAATATAAACAAAAATACGACAATCCAATCGTTCTCACATGGAATTCCTGTCGGAAAACGATGCCAACCACTTCGTCCAAGGTGAAGTCGAGGAGCACCACGTCCTCAAATCGGCAAAAGTCCAAAGCGGCTTGGATAAAGAAAAAGACCGTCCCTGATGGGACTCGAACCCACAACCTCCTGATTAGAAGTCAGATGCGCTATCCATTGCGCCACAAGGACTCGTATACGTGTTAATGCAACTTGAAGTTAATACAGATCGCCTTTTCTCACACTGTCGACTAGAGATTCACATCAAATTTCCCTGCACTATGGAAAGCGCGACTGTGCGAAGGTTTGCATCAAAAGGGAATGGCAACGTTGAGCACTTGGTAAAAGTGTACGTCCACGACGGGACTCGAACCCGCAACCTCCGGATTAGAAGTCCGAAACGCTAGCCATTGCGCCACGCGGACGTTTCTCGTAGCGGAACCATCCCGAGTTGGACGCACGTTGCCAGTTCGAGTGACTTCATAGTCTTTTATATAAGGTGTATCGCAGCTAGTCAGACGCTGCGATCGGCGGCACGACGACAGAGGCGACGGCGTGGGTTTCTTGAGGTGTCCAGGCAGCCAAGTCTGGATGCTGGGTCGCGATGGTCCCTACCGACGATTGAAACCAGGGCTGCGACGCAAACGATGCGTGGACGACTTGCACGACGTTGCGCATCAACTGGAGAGTTTCTTCGTGGTGCGTGGGCAGAGCCAAGTGCCACACCAACGCTTGAAGCAACTAGGACAACTCGTCGGCCATCCCATCTCACATCGCACGCTACCTCGCTCCACAAAAGGTCCAAGTCGGACAGACCGGCCAAATCGTCCATGTGGTGCAGAAAAACTTGGGCGAGAACGTGCATGCGTCCCAATTCGGTGGTGACGGGCGCATCTGTGTTCGATTCGTCGTGGCTGGGAGCAGTTCCGACCAATGCAGGGGGCAACGCCAAGGCCACGAGGCCCGCCTGGTCGGGCGACTCGGTTCCCGCTGCATCCGTGGAACGTACCAACACGCCGCGCTCGCCTTGGCAGCCAATGCGCACCACAAGGGCCCACGTGTCTGGTGTAAACAATCGCTTCGTCACGACGGTGCTTTCCAAGAGGCATTGCTTGAGCGTGTGGATGGCGTTCATGCGAATGTCTACGTTGGGATGTCGTCTCAACGCGAGCAAACCGCCCACGATCGTGAGCGCGTCGATGCGGGTCGTCGTGGGCTGGTGGAATAACTGGACAGCGTACTTGAGCGCTTGGCCCGCCACGGCGACTTCGGCGTCAGCGGGAAAGATCCCCCACGTAAACACGACGTTCGTGAGTGCGTGTACCGCGGCCGGCGAGTTGTCGTTTGAATCGCAATCGTCGGCAACGTTGCCGGCGTCCACCACCAGCGTGTGCATCCACTTGTCGAGCAATTCCACGACTTCCCTACACAACGTGCCGGACAACCGTCAGCCGTCGTCGCAGAGGACCTGCAAACTGCACGACATGATCGCGAATTCGTTTGAAGCACGAGAAATGTAGCCGGTGGACGTGGCCACTCGTCAACCGATACACGACTCTGGCGCTCGCCACGGCTTGGTGGCCACGAGCACCTGGAGGCAGAGACAATATTTCTCTCGTCCGAGCACACTGGGTGGCATGCGTTGCTCGCGTCGAGCAACGCGGAAAAAGGCACGAAACCACGTCACACTCGATCAAATCATGGCTAGACACGTACGGAATCCAGACGGGCTGCACTGAAACGTGCTGCACCCACTCGACTTGGGCCATGTGGGCTGGCATGTTGCACACACCACGGAGAAGCGCCTGTGTGATGGGTCCAAGGAGATGGTGGTGCGTCTGAAGCAGCGTGCACAGGCGCGGCGAATCGTCCAACTGGACGAGGCCCGTCACAAGCGTATCCATGAGGAAGACTGCATTTTCAAACGCCATGCCGTCGACTTGGAGGTTGCCACGGATGAGGGGGTCCAGACACGTGAGCAGGACATGTGCGTGGTTCCACAGCCGATCCACGACGAGTGCCGGTGACGTCTGCGCCACGCACTGAAGCACGAGTTGCTCGAGGAAGACGGCGCCGGCCGGCGTGAGTTTCGGGACAATCGATTTGGATTTGGTCGGAGGCAGCACGACCCGCTCGATCTCGGTCCATGCCACGTGGCAAAAAGAAACGAACGACAGGTCCGACAGCGGATGCATGTGCTCGTAGTACGGCGCGAGGCGGCGCGTCCACAGCGGGACCAACCCTTCATATTGCTAGCCAAACACGCATGACATGCCAACACCAGCTCAAACCGTGGCGGCCATCGAGCCATCCAACCAAACGAACGCTTGAAGAAATCGGTCCAAGATGTGCATACCAAAGTAGACGCCACAGCGGCGGGCGTTGTCGTTGCTTCGTCGTTGTCGGCATCGTCAAGAAGCAGATCATCAATGCGAAATTGAAAGTTCATCGTCGGGCCACTCGCGTGATGGTCGAGCGAGCTGATCGGGGACGGCGTCGCCGTGTCCGAGAAAAACCGCGACACGAACGAGTCAAAGTACCCCGACGACGCCGCGGCGGCCTTCTTGATGGACGCGCGCTTCGCATGCGCTTGCGCCCGTGTTGCCGCAACAAATGCCGCCGCCTCGTCCGAGCTGCGATACGTTGGTCTATACAGATTCCCCCGTGACTCTCGAGTCGCGAGTGCCATGCAGTCATGACAAGCCCATGCAGCATCGATGGCGTCACCACAAATGACGTCATGGTGCTTCCGCGGCATGCACATCCAAGTGTGGACATCACTGACCACCCGAACGAACGAAGACCGATGGCGAATATGCCACCCGAAACACACAACAACACAAACGGCTGAAACGAGCCGATCGAGACGACTTTTCATGGGTGCATGCGACCGCAGAAACCGACCGCCCTGCGTACCTGTGGCGCAGTAAACTGCGCGGGACGAGATGGAATTCGCGCAAGCGGCACACGACCGAGTTGAATCGACTCCATGCGCCATCTCGAAACTCAAATGCGCAATGCGTCCACACCTCGAGCAGTCCTTCTGTCGCGGCACACGCCACCGGGTCGTTTAGAAACGAGTACCTACAACAGGCACACACAGCAATCCGTCCATCAGCAGCAGCCCATGACGCAGGCAAGACACTCCATCAAACAACGGATTCAAACGAGCGTACGTGGCTCCAGCAACTGTTTCGTCGACGTCTATCGCGTCGAGCAGCGTCGACGCGTCGGCGAGGAGGTGGACGACGCGGTGGACGAGGTGCGTGCAGTGCAGCGCCGACGACACGAGGCCCGTGAGCACGACGAGCTGCATCGACAGGTCGCTCACTTGCCGCATGGACGAATGGATCTACACGGAATCAAGCACGACGTGACAAAACCATGTCGAGTGGACCACATGCAGAAAACACTCGAAACGATAGTCGGCAGGAGGTCCGCATGCCAGCACGCACACATCGAATGCACCACCACATCAAGAAACACCCGTAACAAGTCGCATGACGGCATGAGTCCGTTGTCTACCCCCAACACGTTATCGCTTCTTGTTCAGAAAACCAAACGCCGCGACGAAACCCATTCACGCTCGCAAGTCCCCGTCGACAACAGCACTCGGAAAGCGTTCGACCGGGTTGATCTCGACGTACAAGGACTGGAGCGGATTCGAGCAACCGATCGGCGACTGCGTCGAGCACTTGGGCGTCGTACTGGCGGTGGTTGGCCATCGAAACTATCGTCGCCGCGTCCATGGACCGTTGAACGTCGCTCCATCTACACCCAACCACCGTGCCCATCATCAACCAGCCATGACCACTGAAATATCCGAGAAAGAGACCCGACGCGGCTGTCCGTACCGCTCGGGAGCAAACACGTTGTCGTTATCGCTCGTCCGGAATTGATCGTTTGCGATCGCGTGGTAGATCGTGGCCAAATACGCTTCCGGGAGCGGCGCCAGTTGGTTGTTCAAGCCGTAGTTGACGTTGTTTTTCAAAAAGTCGGCGACCGACATCTTCTTTTCCGGGCGAATATTGGCGTTGTGGAGGTCGGTGTTGAGCATGATGATGGAAAAACTCAGCAAGTACGCGACGTCGACACATCCAAACAGGTCGCGCTCGCGGCACTCGGCATAGACCTAGCAACCGTCGTGAGCCAGCTCTGCCAGACCACGCCGTCGTCGTCGTCATACATGTGTCGCAAACGTTTCGAGAATGCGATCGATTTGCTGCGCTTCGCCGGGCAAGCGAAACGCCGACAGGAACGTCCGAAGCGCGTCCACGAGCGGCATGCCGTCAAAGTTGAATGTCTCGACGTACGCGACGCGCAGTTGCGCGTGAAACTCGACCGTGTCGTGAAGTGGCGCGTTGGCTTTCTTCGACCGCGGCGATCCCCCCGACGGCGCCGCGTGCGCCTTGCCGAGCGCCCCAAGCACTTGACCCACAACCGTCTGCCAACGATTCAAACTCGTCGTCATCTCTCCACACCCATGGCCACCAACACATTCATCGCGACTCGGGTCGATGGGAAAAAACGATGGAAATAATCCCAGCGCGCGTACCTTGTCCATTCCTCGGGGAAGCGACCGAAGAAACCGAGCTGGAAAACTGCATGTGAGGCGGCGACGGGATTAAACTTTACGTCGCCCACGACGACGGGGGATGCGACGGCGTACCGAGAGCGACGGGCGTTAGTGGCGACGGCAGAAAGTCGTGCTGCACCAGCAACTGGATGCCGGCGGACGGCTTCTTGTTGAACGTAGCGATCGCGTCCTGCACACAAACAACACTCTCATTCGACCTTTTCGACAACGTATCGGCAGGCACACACAATCCACACCCCTTTCCAGCTTCTAGCCACCGTGATCGCATCCCGAGCCATGCAAGAGTGGCCATCGCACCGCCAACGCATCCACAACGTACTTGGAACAACTGCTTTCGCTGGCGTCGCGCGAGGAGGACGTCGGGGGGTCCGACATCGCTTGGGGGCGCCCATGGTTCTTGCGGACTGTGCTGGGCGCGCCGATACAGCATTTGCAGCGCATTCATGATGCCAAGGCATGACAGTTCGGTCATCTCCGTCGACGCCGTCAACATGGGACGGTCGGCGCCCATCGCCCCGGCCGCATCGAAAAACGTGTCGAGGATCGTTGCGACGACGTTCGCGCGGTCCGCGTCGCAGTCGTAGTTGACAAACATGTCGACGAGATACGACGCGTCGCTGAAAAAGTCCACGAGGACCTGGCCTACCTCCAGCCTCCACTGGTGCTCGACCGAGTCGTCCCCCCGACCTCCTCCGCTGCTGGCATCGTTGGTCGGCTTGGCTTGAATGACGTGGACGAGGCCGCCGAGCACAAGCACTTCCCACTGGTGCTTGAGGGCCGGCCGAAGGTGCACCCAGAGGAGCCGCCACAGCGGCAAACTCGCCATGCGCACGTTTAAACTATAGTCGTCGTCGCTACAACGCGGTGAACGAAACTCGGAGCAAGGCATTTTGAAAAGGGCAAACGAGCACCTGGTCGTGGATCGACAGATTCGAAGCAGTCCAAGGCACAGGTCGTCTTGAATATATGCCAAGAGCGACGGCGCATCCAAGAGCGCGCCGCCGCTCGCTTGGAGAATCGTGTGGAGAAGGTCCAATGCCACGAGCATCTCTCGCTCGGTGGAGTGCGGCGCCGTCGACGGCGCAAGTATCTACGTCATGGTGGCTGCCATTGATACACAGGACCGCACGAAATGCGACGAAGACAACGAAGAGGACCCTCTCACAGCCGCCGAGGAGAGGATGCATGAAGGGCCCGTCAACATGCGCATGCGTGCAGGAATGCATCAACCACATCCGAACCCAGGCTGAGAGCCACCACGTCCATGGAACAGCGGCAGGACGTACCTTCTGGACGAGGAACGCGAGAATGCGTGTGTCGATCGCCGTCGTCGTGCTCGCTGACGACGATGCGGTGGATGCAAAGACGACACGTAGCAGCCGATGGAGGCTTTCGGTGGCGAGGGAGCGCAGGACGCTGGGGATTTGAGTCTACATGTGAGTCAGGCGGAGAGGACTGACGTGGGTGCGACCTCGTAGGAGCGGGCGATTCCATACAAGGACTCGACGACGTGCCACATCGTGTCCACGTGAAGCCGCCGCGTCACGTCGCGGAACTGAATCACGACATCGAGCACGCGGACGACCATGAGGAGTACGTACTGATCGGATTCCGGGTCGGTTTCTTGGAAGCGGCATTGTGTCACGGCGTCCACAACTTCCGACAGCGCGTGGTGCATGGAAATGCCATCGTCGGACAACTCGTACGCTTGCAAGATTGTGCACACGGACTCCATCGCGGCACGAGTGAGTGGCCCAGTCGTGTTTTCATTGCGCACGATGTCGAGGAACGGACGTAGCACGGTCTGCGACTCGTAGTCCGCTAGATCTGTCCACTGGTACACGTGGACGCGCAAGGATGCAAGTCCTTGGAGCTGGGACGACTTGACCTAGCCACAGGGTAAGCGCCATAGAAACCTTGAACCCTCCCGCTTGCCGAGAGGCACGGGCCCTGGATACGCGCACACATACTTTGACGTAGTCTTGCCGAAAGACATGCACAAGCGCTTGTATCTCGCTGAGGATGGCACTGCGTAAGAGTTCCATCGATTACCTTCACCGTCTTGAGAATTCTGCGGCGCGACGGTAACATGCGCTAACGTAAAGTACTTCAAAAAGATTGCATTCGATTACCTCCATACAAACACGAGGATAACAACATTGTATTCAAGCACTTTAACATTTTATACTGAATTTTGTATGGACTTGCCACACATCAACACCACTAACAAAGTCCGTCCATATAAACAAAAAAATGGCATATAGAGCATTTTGGTACCGTATTGCAGTATGACCGTGCTCGGTTTTTATTGATTCACAAATGGTGTCCCAAAACAGTCTTACTCCCAACCGAGACTTGGCATTTGGTTGAATCCCATGCGTCAATTCCTGCAGTCGTTCCTGGCGAAGGCGGGGGTGGCGGCGGCGGCGCCGTCATCGCAATCGACCGCGTCGGCGTCCAAGAACATTGCTAAGGAGCGGTTACAGATCATCCTGGCACACCAACGTGGGTCCCAGGCGCTGAGCGGGGTCGACCTCAACGCTCTCCAGGCCGAGCTCCTTGCGTGTGTGCAGCGCCACATTGCGGTCGCAGACGGCGAGAGAGTCAACATTGCGGGTAAAGTACAGCTTTTGCGTCCATTTTCGATCGACTCACTGCTTTGCTTAGTCAAGCACGAAGGCAGCCTGGACATCTTTGAGATGCAAGTTCCCGTCCACCCGCATGCGGTTCGCACAACGCCGTCGGTGTAATGCAGGCGTATTCATTTTCGTCGACACGATCGCGCGATGTTATCTATTTCTCGTACAACGCCACGGTGTACTTGGCAAATGGCTGGCACTGTGTCGATGGGGTGAAATCCTCGTTCTCTCGACCCTGTCGAGAACGTACCTCCATGTGACTGATGCTGTCGACAATCCACGCAACGCGAACTATCGGCATCTTCCGTCGAGTTGCAGCATGTGTGGCCACGAGCGCACTGCACGCGGCGAGCGAGAGGGTCTTGGACACCACACCAACCACGTTCTCGCCAGCGTGTTGACCATGTTGGTATGGTCGCCACATGCCTCCACATGCCACGACCACCTTTTCCATCGCGTCTATCTGCTCGATCGGGGCGTGCAGCGGCATCACACACATCCCTTGAAAGATTTGAGTATTCCTCAGCTAGCCACAACACCGAGGTCAGCTGTCATTATCATCTCCTGCCAAGATCATAATCCACCCACCAGTCGACACCTTCTCGGGACCGCGGTCGCCTGCAAGGCACTAGTATCCCCTGCGATCTCAAACGGAGCTTCGTCGACCCACCGCCGCGCTTTTGAGCTCGCGAGGACCCACCTAGGTCGTAGTAGCGGCTCAACCTTTGTCGATGACGATCAGCTGGACGTACTCCATGCTGACAATCCAACAGCCATGGCTCATCCCCAGCAGCACGCTTAGGGTTCGCGAGCATCGCATGGCAGCGTCGGCACTTGTCACGACGTGGGTGGTGCTTAGAGGGTCGTCACTTGCGTGCCTACGCCAGCCATTACAATGCATGTCATGGCGCCCACGGCAAGTCGCGGCAAGGGGCGTTGGTCGTGTCGATGATCGCGGCTCCTCACGTACATGAAGCCAGGGCGTCGTTTCGACGACGGGTGGAAGCGAACGCCGAAGCGGCCGCCCAAGCACCGCACGCAATCGAGAACGAGGCGGCGGTGGGATTTCGACACATGGGTCGCCACGATGCAGACTCGATTTGTTTGGTTGGCAGGGGCTCGTGAAGCGGCTGCGATCACCTGTTAGTACGCCATGTCGAGAGGAGGTTTTGGCACCTGTGGGGTCGGTGGGTGACCCATCGAGGATGCGGAACGACGGCGAGTTGACGTCGGGGACGACGTTTCTGTCGCGAGGGCTCGTAGTGTATGCGACGGGATGGTCAGGCGCTGTTTCGGTTGGACTGGGAGGGCAAATCGCAGCAGCTTGCGACTCGTTTCCCGCCGAGTCGCGATACCCTTGGAGTTCCGTTTCCGGGACGCACTCTTCGTCGGAGTCGTCCTGAGTCGCAGCCACGACCACGGGCAGTGCTGTTGCGGCTCGAGCATGGCGGACCAGATGGAACGACACGGTCGACCGAGGAGGTGACTGCGGCACTAACAGAATCGGCGACGGGGTGCTGATCGGCATGGCGGTTTCCTGCGATGAAGTCGAGGGAGATTCGTGAGGGTGATGTGTAGGCGAGACTGGAAGCGGTTGGGATGGCGGATGACGCGGAAGTGGTGGTTCAGGGCAGCTGGTCTCGATGTTGGCACCGGGTGCGCCAGGAGGAGGAAGAGTTTGCGAGCAACTGGCGACGACGTTGGGGCTGCTGACGTGACTGCTGTGATTGAAACTCTCGTCCAAGTCTGCGGCGTGCCTCTGCAACGTGGCGTGATAAGCTTTCAGTTGCGGCGTATTCATGAGCGACGCCATGGAATCCACGCAATTCGAGTCAATCGACACAGTGACACCAGGTTCCGCGTCATTCTGCGTCGATACAATCGAACTATGCAAGGGTGGAGGCGACGAGGCAAAGTCCAAGGGGAGCTTTCGCTTGACTGCTGGTGATGATCGTGCCACAGGAATGCTCTCGACGGCGGACTCGTCGGTTGGGGACGGAGATGTCGTAGATATCGCAGCTTCGACGAGCCTCCACTCCTGCAAGAGTCCGTCGAGAAATTGATTGCGATGGACGTCACTTGGACACATGGGGATCTTGCATTTGGGACATTGTGGCACCGCCTTGCGCAGCTGGACGTCAATACACTGCTTGCAATAGTTGTGATTGCAGCCAAGGCAGTGTGGATCTCGCAGGGTTTCGTGGCTGCGTTACACCACAGCATCGTGAGGGTACATGCATAGAAAGTCGCCACACCTGGTCCTCCTCGCACGTACCAAATGAAGCAGCGCAGTTCCTCGCGGATCACATTCAGTTCGCGCATCACCGCGGTTCCGACTGGCATCGCTTCTCTCTGCCGAGACGGCCACTTCCGCGCTGCATTATCCGGAAATGTAATTCTATTGGTAAACATATCGGATGATGGACCCGATCCACCAATCAGACGACTTCACCGCGCCGGCGGGAATGCGTTGGCGGCGTTTGGGGAGTCTGCCCGATGGACGATGGACGGAATGGGCCAAGCGAGAGTCGATAAATGAGCATGTAATCGTAACGTTACTACGACGGCGACTCAGGCATGGTGGAGCTAGTGCGTTGACGGAGCAGCCCATCTTCGTCAGACTTGGCGTACTGATGCACAAAGCATGCCGAAAACTGCTTTTTCATGCGGTCGACGACGATCTCCTTGAGCGACAGGTCGTTTTCTTCCAGCGTCAGGTCCACGAGGCGCTCGGTCACGTTGGTGAGCGCGGTCATTTGGTCAAACACGTGACTCACGTCCTCGTCGATCTTGTTGAGTCCAAGCGCCGGGCCAGGCAAGTTGCCCGAGTTCATGCGCGGCGACGTAACAATTTGCGCCAGGTCGTTCAACGACGACAAGTCGCATTTCTTGTGGTGGCTCACAACATGGATGGCTTCCAGTACACGTTCCTGCAGGACCTCGAGCTGTTTCGACTGATGTGAGCACTTGTTGCCCGTCACATCCTGCTCGACAAGCATATCTTGAGCATTGGCATCGAGATCGCACGCTCGGACGTACCACCAACATGGCTGCCCGCTTCTGCACGCCTTCCAAATCACTCGCGAGCTTTTGAGTCTCGGCTTTTGCCGCCAAACGCTTCTTCTTGAGAACTTCCATCGTTTCATCTTCCGCTTCCTTCTTCTTCGCCTGCAACGCCTTGATCTCAGCCTCGTACGTCTAGCTCATCGAGTCAGTCCATTGCGCCCACATTTGAACCAAATGTACCTGCTGGGCCTTGGCCATCTGAGCGCGCACGGCCTCGAGCTCTTCCTGGCTCTTCTTGATCACGGCCTCGTGCTCAGCGAACTTGGCCATCGTCTTGGCTTTCACATCCGCCATACGCTTCTCATGCGCTAAGTCCCGCTCCTTGACCTGTTTCTCGACGTCCTCGACGGCTTTTTGCTTTTCAGCGCTCAACGCTTGGATGTACGCCTTCACCTTGACTTTTTTCTCTTCTTCGTCCTTGATAAACTTGTCGTGGGCATCTTGCATGTCTTGTTTCGCGGTGTTCCATGCCGCCTCCTTGGCCTTCCACTCGCGGACGGCTTCCTCTAGCGCCAAGGCATGGGCCGCCGCGAGCCCGCTTTGGCTGGCGTGGTTCGACTTCGCATGACTAAGCTCCATTTCGAGCTCACGCACTTGGCAAGTCAGAGCGTCAACCTGGCCACTCAAGTTTGCGCACTCGGCTAACGTTTCCTGACCTTTGGAAGCGGTTTGCGCCGCTTCCGCACACTTCGCGTCGAAGTCGGCCGTGGCTTGTGCCAACTGGCGTTTCAGGTTGGCGCATTCCAAGTCCTTGGCCACTCCCTCCCCACGCAACACCGTGCACTCGCCAATTCGAGCGGCAAGATCTGCTTGCAATTGATCCTTCGAGCTTTCCAGTGCGGCCATGTCTTGTCGGTGTTTGTCCGACAGCGACGCCGAGGTCGTTCGCGACACTTGCTTTTCCTCTTCCAAACTGGCCACGGACAGCTCCAACGAAGCGACGCGGGCTGTTTTCGCCTGCCACGCGGCTTGGGCGGCGGCCACGAGCTCTTCGACGTTGGTCGCGACTGAAAACGTCAGCGCTTGCAGTGCCATCACCACACTTTGCACTTGACGATGGCAGTCTTGGTTCTCGTGTCGCAGAGCAGCCAACTGTTCGTTTAGAGAGGCGGAACCTTGTTCACGCTGCGCGCTGTCTTGAGTGTGCTGCCATTGAAGTTGCTGGAGCTGTTGTTCCAGCACAGCTTTTTCCGCCACGCGTTGCTGCGCAAGGTGCTCGAGCTGGGCGACCCGCTCCGCGTGAAGTTGTCGATCCGTTGCCAGTTGTTGTGTGAGTTGGTCGACTTGGGCCTTCCATTCGTCTCGTTCAGGAGGGGCAGCGATCGACACGTGCTGCTGTAGTTGTTGCAGCAACTCGGCGTCTTTCGCATGGAGTTGCTTTTCAAGTTGTTGCACGCGTTCCTTCTCGACGATGATCTGGGCCTTGACGTTGTCCGCAAACGCTTTCGCCTTGGTCTTGAGCTCGTTCATTTCGTTTCGGGACTGCGCCAGTTGCGCTTCAAGGGACTTTTTTTCGTTCGTGAGGGCTTCAGCAAACGCCTTGGCTTTGACCTTGAGTTGGTTGAGTGTCTCGTCTTTCGCGGCAGACTCGGCCTTGAGCCGTGCGATTTCCCCGCCGTCCATGTCGTTCGTGCTTCGTGCGGTCAATTCAAGCTGTACCGAGCCCTCCTTCGAATCCTCTCGCAACTATTTTTAGACACGCAAACTCGGCAAACCGCTGAGATCGTTGGCAAGAGTGTTCTTCGACAACGGGTTCGCGGTCGTTTCGCCCTGCGACGGCCTCACGCTGCCATCATGGCCGTGGCCATGATGGCATGCACGTGCCCGCGGTTACCCACTGCCATGATTATGCCACGGAAGGCGGTGGCGTGATGTGCCATTTCGCTTCGTTGGATCTTGAACGGGCGCCGCCATTGAATATCCATGGATCTGTGCGATTGTTGGGGCGTCATACAAAGAATCATATCGACGTTGGGAATATCCATGCAAGCACGAAATGGGACGAAATACAAAAAGCCAGTGAAACTGTTGGGGGGTGGGTCCGTATGCGGATCCGGATATGTCCGTCGTCGCAGGCAGGGGAACCAGTCATTTGATGGCGTGGCGTGGCCAGCCACTGTCGGTGGTGTGGCATGGCTGGCCACTGGCGACGGCGATGGTCATTCTTGATCTGCCGGTGTCGGTCGCCGTTCTAGTCCATGCCATGCCGCGCAGTCTCTCTTGCGACAGTTGCCGACGTCCGTTGTCGTCGAGCATCCTACTGCTGACTGCCAAAGCGACCGTTTGTACCAGCGACCCATTCCGTTGAGTTTGCGCCCTCGTCCATTATGAGGTGGCAGAATTAGGAATGACACATGCCCCTCTGCGTTTGTATGCTGCGTGTGTGTTGTGTCTGTGTATCGAACGGGAGACATGATTACCACATCACATGTGCGCCGCCCCAGGCTGAATCTATGTGAAGAGACACATTGCGCCGTCTTTTAACAGAGGACGGTATGATCTCCTTCTTGTGTGCATGAACGCGACGTGGATGCGCGTCCAGAATTGGTTTCCAGCGCGAGATGTGCGCCGCCGCCCCACGACGTCTCGTTGGGCAAACGCACGTGTTCGGCCATGCTGTCCTGTGTGTGTGTGTGTCCTTCGTGGAGAGATGCTGTACGACCATGATGACACGAAGACAACCCAGCTCGCTTTGAGACCGCGTCGTTGAAGACAATTGTTCTCAGACACCTTCACAAGTGTCGTGCCTGACTTTGTACGTCGAATCTCCCATTGTGTGTTTGATGGTGGCTGCATTCTTGTGCATTGTTGTGGTGGTGGGGCGTTGTAAGGAGGACTCAACCTTATCCCTGTCTGATCGACCCGCGGTCATGACGAGAACCTTGTGTAACTTTTCAATTTCAAACTGAACAACGCATTCCCCCACTACCCGTGCCGTTTATTCATGTTGACATTGCATCGTGTCCTGTCATCGTTTGGTTGTGTTTGGAGTGGGCTGGATGAGCCCTCTTACTGTTTGCAAAGTCTCTAGACGTGCGACGTCCCTTGCGTCACTAGGTCGTACGGATTGAGTCGCTGTGGTGTTCTTCGTTCCGTGGCGATGAAGGGTGGTGCGGTGGATGGAGCGAGGACAACGTACTACCTTGACCGAGTCGGCTCCGTCTTGGCGACGGCTCGAACATGATGCTTTTTCATGTCATAGTTACACTGACCGTCCACCGCGTGCCGCTCTCAATTGGAACGAAACCCTTTGAATACAACAACTTGAACAAGATGTACTTGTCGTTGCAGCATCTTCTGGTGACGAAGGCATGCATGTAGCTCAGTAGTCTAGACAGCAAAAAAGCAATGGACTCATACGATGGCTAACGCGAAGCACAGCGGGTCCATGCCCCAGGTATTTTGTCGTTGAATCGAGATCACCGAGTCATGACCGTCGATGTGCTGTCGCCAAACGGCAATGCGATGCTCGGTGTGGCGCAACATGGAGAGCACACGGTGAACCTGGCTCGCATGTCGAACTCGATGACGTCGGCAGCACTTTCTCGCGTTCTAAATCCAACTGTTACGAGTCGAAGCTTGCATGTCGCCTTCCTGACGAGTTCCCAACACCTCCGTCCGATGGACCGACGAACAGGACGATGCTTCGTCCCGATTGAACTCGACACGTTCCAGCGCGGCGCATGACGTGCCTCCACCTTCTCGTCGCATGCCACACCATCACGCACGTCAATCAGTTGAGCCAAGTGCCGTGGAATTACAAAGGCGATTCTACCCTTCGTCGGCCACGTCGTCGACGTCCTCGCGACGTGTCAACGTGACTGCGTCCCAAGGCTCCATCCCGTGCGTGTTGGCGAACCACAAAACCTCCAACCAGTCGCCAGTCGCAATCACCTTGGCCGCGCCGTACACTTGGTTGTTTACCCGCGTCGACCACGGCGGAAGCGTCCCTGGCACTCGTGGCCCCGCGTGACCTGCATCCAGCACACACGAGCATCATGCCACAAACACGCCGCCGCGAAGCTGCCACACACACCTTCGTAATTCCCGCCCGCCCCCGTAGTCACGTACACTACGCCATGCGTCGCGTTGATCTCGTTGTTCACGATCGGTGCCGTCCGCTCGTATCCGTGGACGTGACCCGCAATGACCACATTCACTCGATACTTGACAAAGAGCGATTCAAACTTGGCTTGTAACCCACACGCTGGTTCGTACATCGGGGACCCAGATACGTACTGGCCATTCCAGCATGCTTCCGCGTCCTGGTGGCCGTCCATATTCAGCATGGAATCACATGTCTCGACGTACCTCGGGGGCAATGACGTACTTGTGCTTGGAGCACTGGCACTGGTGGTCCATCCACGTGTTGTAGAACGGATTGTGCTTGACCACGACGACCCACGGCGTGATGGTGCGGTTGACACCGGCCAAGTCAACGTCGAGCCATGCCAGTTGCACGGCTCGCTCGTGCTTCCACTGCATCGTCCCTATCGTGCTCTCCATCACGCGATCCAAAGTCGCACGACGTTCGCACCAACAGTGTTGATGTTGCTGCCGTTGGATCCTACGTAGTCGTCCAGGAACACGAGGTGCACGACCCCGACGTCAAACGAGTAATACGTGCGCTTGGCAGCCTTCGCTTCCCCCGAAAGCGGCGTGACCGCGCGCTTCAAGTACGCGACGTAGTCTTCCCCTGCCATGTCGTTCGCGACCGGATGACCTGGAGTGTGGCCATGGCTCGTGATCGTTTCGTGGTTGCCGTTGATCCCGAGTTGCGGCACACGAGCAAACACGTCTTCTTGGACGTCGTACCTTTCAGCAATGACGTGAAGCAGGCCGCGACACCTGAAGGTACATACCACTTGTCCCAGACTTCATGTTCGCCATTGGCGTAGCTATAATCCCCCGCAATCAAAATGGCTTGGGTCGGCAAGCCCCTGTATGCTTCCCCAAGGCTTCGCAGTGTCTGCGAGCTGTCCGATGTATCGCCAGGGTCGCCGACCACGCCAAGGACAGTGGGCGCGTCTTCGCTGCCCACTGCCGGCGGCGTCACAAACGTGCTCGTTCGGTTTCCAATGGCGTAGTCGTAGGCTGTCAGCGGTGCCAAATTGCACAAGAATGCCGTGTGCAACTGCGGCGACTGGTACGAGTACCTCCCGGACGTCACGCTGTACGAGTCACTCGTGCTCGATCGAACGCTCCACTGGTCATAGCCTTTGATGGTGAATCGAACGTCGAACGGGGCTGCTGTTTGCGACGCGAACGAGACTGCTACTCCATTTGGACACTCTTGGACGGCATTCGTGAGGGCCAAGTGCACTTGCGACACCGCCAGCAATGTCGACTCAGAGGTGCCCATGCCAGCAAGCACAGCCATGGCGGTGGCAAGTCGAGTTCGCATTGAAAAATCCCCTCCACGAAACCTGCTTACGAAGGGCTGACGAAGATGCCTCAACGTCGACAGGCAGAGAGGAGACACATTGTCTAGATGCGACACCAACTGTCAGTCGTCATTTTTATTTCGCTTCCACACGAAGCCCACAAACTCCAAGATAATATAATTCCATAGTGGACAATCCATCGACATGGGAATCCACCGAATCCAGTCTGGGCGTGTCAGTGGCTTCATCTAGTTGAGCAGCGTGGCACAATACGGTGATGGAGGAAGATGAGACTTCGAAAACAGAGTGCAAATGCGCAACCACCGCGACCAGAGTCGGGCGAGATGGATAGATGACGTGGCCCACTACGAGCGCTGTAAAGAGTACAGAAAGTGGTTGCCGACAAATGTTGGCTACCCGCCGCCGTAGGCCCCTCCTGGTCTCGAGTTGGGGCAATTCGTTTCGGGTAAAACCACTGTCGTGCGGTAACATGCTATCTCGACGCATTCCAATACGTCGGGGATGCGTTGTCAACCTTACGGGGCACCTCTCACGACTGCGACGGCTTCTCCCAACGGCAACCATGGCAGACAGCAGCGTCAATCGTGCACCGATATATGAGGGCCGACGCCCCCAATCACCCATGCACTCTTGCTATCGTCCTCCGCAATGTCCGGACAAGATAGTCATATCCTCGGTGCCCTGGACGACCACTGGAGGGTGGCGGCACCCTTGGAATATTGGTGGGGGAGTCCTCTACCGGTTGATGTGCCGACGGTACTCCATTCACTCGTTGTCGAATGGTCAGCATCCTCGTCGCACAAAGAATCAACCTGCGCGAGGGGTTACGCGACAGACACTCCACAGCCACGACCAGCCAACACTAGTACTTGGTAAATCGCTGGAGGAGCCGTACGCACGTCGCGAGCGTGGTTGCAATCCGACAACCACAAAGGGGATGGAATGCTTGAGAGGTGTGTCGGATAAACGACTTGAAGCCTCGGCCATTGACAACATGATGGCCATCACACTTTGCTCACCGAGTTTGCCCATACATATGCACAGGTACGTTGTAACATGCTCATGAGGATGTAACTCCAGTCAAAATTCACTGCATAGTTTGTGCCGTTCGAAGTGCCAGGTCCGTTTCTTTGATGGACACGACTTGCCGTTGTGGGCATATTCGGGGGGGGGGCTGCAGGGTTGCAACATGCAACGACAGGTCATTGTGCAAAATCCCATGAGCTCTGCAGTCTTGCTCGCACTGGTGGTCGTATCGTCGTCTATGGCATCTGCCGCCTCTTCGCTTGCAAGCATCCCCTCAAATGAGGCTACGACGGTGGAATCGGCCACGACGGACAAGGAATGGCTGACGGTGTACCGCCCGATCATCTACCGTCCAATCATTTATCGCCCTGTCCTGAACGCCCCCCCTGCTGCCGCGTGGTCCCCCATGATGACGACTGGAGGAAACGTCGTGGTGGATCGTCCAGGGATCCGTGTTGGAACCTCGGGAGAGGTCGTTCCTGGCGCGGACGCCATGGGGCATGAATCGAGCTAAATCAATGACTTGATAATCTCATTACGTCGGGTGGGCTACACAGCGTTTGTGTTATTTTTGATCCAAGGGGTTGAGCTCGCGTTGAATGTTCTGGTGACGAAACAACACAAAATATGCTGCTAGGCGTGCGCAATCGAATCCAGAGGTGTTTGACAGTTGAGAGCTGTATTTCCAATGTTATCTTGTTACAGAACGGACCGTTGCAGTGCTCCGACCCACACTCGAGTCAGCCCCCATCGTATCCTGTCAACGTGCCCGCGTAAATGGGACGACAATGTTTCGCGATAATACATTTTGAGTTACGATGGACGTGTCAATACTGACAAGCGACAACCTACTCCCCCAACAGCGACAGAATCGAACTGTGGCTGATCTAGAGCAACCTCTTCTCATTTACTCGCCGCACCACGCCATATTGTAATCGGGGCCGTACTCCTCGCATTCGTCCTTGGTGTATTCGTCGTACAAGCATTGGTTGGCAGGCGTATAGAAGCAAGTGCGGCACGCGCCACAGTTGGGTCTCGGTGTGGGCCTGGGTTTGCGGGTGGGCTTGGGCGTCGGGGCACCAATCTGGGGGAACGACACGTACTCGGCGACGTTGCACATCCCTTTACCACCCGCGCCACGTCGCAGACGAATGTGCCCACCTTCGCCCCAGGATTCACCCCACGAGTTGCGGATCTTGTAGGACGACTCGTCGTACCCCACGGCAATGACGGCGTGGTCGGACTGCGAGCCAGGGCAATGTTCGATCTCCCCCGAACGATAGTACATCCACTCAGTGTTCATCGCTTCGACGGCCACCGACACGGGCTGCTTGTTCAACGCCGTTTCCAACGCCAACTCACCAGACACTTGGACGGTGGCGCCTATGTTGAGCTTCTTCTTGGTGCAAGACCGCATGCACGTTCCACTGTCGCCTTGGCCAGACGTATACGGGTAGTCCTGCTCCATGCACCCTCCCTCGCTGAACATGAAGTCGAGAGCGTACCACGGAACTCCTCCCAAGCACCCGTTGTTCCAGTTAGAGCAACTCACCACTTGTTGCTCCGACAAGTCCAAGAGTTTCCCCGTGTCGAGGCAGTGCGCCGACTCGGCAGAGCCCACGGCCGAGAAGGCCCAGCATGACCCGCAGATGCCTTGATCGCGTACAGGGCCAACGCAATCGCCCTTCGTCCAGTCTACAGACGCCGCCCTGACACTGCTATAGTTCAGCTCGGCGGTCGGAAGGGAGTGGAAGGCTTTGAGACCATGCTCAAAGGACAAGCCGAGCACGTGCTTTTTGAACTCGGCTGGCGTCAATAGGGCGTGCGGGTAGTGGTGGTCGAATGTGGCACCAGGATTCTTGCGGCGGGCCTCCTCGATCGCGAGCTTGGTATTGTAGAAACGCTGGAGCGCGTCCGTTTCCGCGTCCAATGCGTTCATGCCTTGGACGGACGGAGGCATGTAGGCTTGGGCTTTGGCACCAAACTCTTGGCGCCACTTGGCCAGCTCCTCGCGGAGTTGCGTGCGCTCGTGCGATGGCAACGTCATCACGGACGGTTTGTTCGCAGCGGCAGACGCAGCAACGAGGGCGTACAACAGCTTCATGGCGGTCCAAGTGTGAAAGATGGCAAATTCAAAAGTGTCACGGTTGGCTTCGACCAAAGTTGTCGGACTTTTCTCTCGTCGTCATGATGCACCACAGATCGACAATTCGATAACACACTCTCTACCCTGTGGGATGAACAAGCCAGCGAAAATGTCACGGGGGATTGCCTTAAGCTCGAGCAAGCTTCACAAGAACCAGATTGCATATGTCGAGCTAGCCGCACCTGTACGGACAGTGCTGTGCGATGCGATATGCAATCAAGAGAGATCCGACTCGTGAGTCCTCTTTCTACGACCTGTCCTTCGCCCAAGTCGTCCAAAATTTCATCCTAGCAGAGATAATGTGCGCTCAGCACCCGTGTCACCAGGGACGCCGGCCACCTAACAGTGGGCTACGGGTATTCCTCGAGACTTCTGCATGGCTAGCGTGCACTGACCTCTGCGATATCCCCTCGTGTTGGAGTGCTTTGAGGTGTGCCGTGGGTTTCCCTCTCTATCCATCATATCCCTCACACGTCTGCGACGACCATCCAAACTTTGAACGACTGACGAGAAGGACAGTTCCCAGGAAGAGGATTCACAACTTAGTAGTAGGGTTATCTCCGCGTTACATCGCAGCTGTGTCTTACATATGTACGTGAAACCGGAGGACTGCTGTAGCTGTGGACGATGCCTCGACTACAGTTGCCGCAGAGCCAGGATAATTCTCCATACCGAATGGCCCATGTCACGGATTCGCGGACGCGATCAGCACAGTTGCTGCGGACGACGCGAGTTTGCAATCCAAGGCAGAGAAACCCGCAGCAAACACTGTCACGCCTCGACACGGTATGTGCGTGATGCAGCTGGGGGTCCAACCTGCAGCTCAGGTCTAGACGTATCCAAGAAATCAACTGCCAACCTTCCGCTTCAACCCTTTCGCCATCGTCGAAAGCATCCAACTCGCATCCACCGCAGCGCCAACCTCGTCACGCCGCGATGGCGATGGCACCCCAACGGTCCTTGTGACCTTGGGCACCGCGATGAGACACACGAAAACAACCCAACTCAGACACATATCGCATCAACCTGATGGTTGGCCCGGTGCGCTCATACGACCCCGGCTTGATTACAGTCGGACGGAACAGTGCAAGAGGCATCCAGAGTGTGCAGATTGGTGGTTCCTCTGACGAAGAGTCACTCTTGAATTTGCATTCGACCCCGTCCGCTGCCATGACGTTGTTTGGCGCGACCGCTGCCAAGCAGCGCTACGTGAACTCAAACGCAAGTAGACTACAATCTTGACGTGACAATGCAATGTGGGAAATGCAAGTCTACAGAAGTACCCCAGAGTGAAATGGACATACTCGAGGCAATGGGTGCTTGGTTGTGCCGCCGTCCTTTGCAATTAACATACTCATCCTTCTTGGCATGGTTTCCCTCGGATGACATTTTGTGTGACGAAGCTTTGACGTATTTCGTTCTTTCCTGCCCCGGAGGAGCGGAATTGAAGCTATCGTGAGCTTTCCTAGCTGCGCTGGTGGCGCCAGCGTACAACTCGATGGATTCAAATCCAAGCAGAGAAACCGACTAGACCAACTGATCATGACGGCAATGTCCATATTCTGGCGAAACAAACTCCTACGTCGACACGCATAAGATCATGCATGCAGGTGGCAATGCTTTACCAGGGGCCACACCAAACCGAGTAACATGGAGTGATGTGTTCCGGCTCGCGTCGCATGCGATAACCACTGCTGACGTCAGCGTGTGCGTTGAAAGGATGGTGATGTTTGAGTGGCGCGACTCAAGTAAGACACTGGTGTTCTAGATTGATAGGACCTGATGTGAACCTAGATCTTCACATTTCATCCTCCTCGAAATTGCGATTGCCTCGTTGCGGCGACAGGTGTGCGTGTTTGAGTACATGCAGCATATGAAGGCACATACAAAAACTGTCATCGATGGCTATTGCTAGCCATCAACACCCCGCACGCCATGGTGGAACTCTTGGACTTGAAGAGTAATACTTCAGCCATCGCCTTTACAGAACTGATTGATCGGACGTGTTGCGGACGTATGAACAGGAACAACTACGCCCAAGTTGGGCTCCGAGGAATTTTCAAACTCACGAATATCGCCTTGTTGGACTTGCATCATCCTAATCTCGTTCAACCGGTCACACTTATCGCACAACTCTGGGACAGTGTGGATGCCTATCGAGTCCGTGAGGCCGTCCTGGTTGCGATATTGCAGGGAAGCTTCCACTAGAAGAGGCCACACACAACGTCCAATGCGCGACATTCTGGCACAAGGACTTACTCGTGGGCCAAGATCGCTTACACCCAATATTGTCTACCGAATCCATTGACCGGAATCGGTCGACCCGAGCGACTCCACCATCTCAAATTGATCACGTCGCTGTAGATGACTTGAATTCGTTGGCGTCGCTTTATGCAGAAGTGTGTCAAAATAAGTGCTGCATTCGATCGCATCGTGGCATCGCATCGAGCTTGGCGTTTGTACGTCGAATGCAAAGCTTCGGTCAACATACTGTTAGTACGTCATGAACATGTTCTTCTTAGTTGTACTCAAAAGGAGGGACGTGATCGCGACGGAATGTTGTCCAGCAGGATCTGCCGACGGTCAGACGCACCCCGTTCAACTTGACTGTCAATGAACGCCATACGATATTCGTCGAGTACGATGTGCCATGACAGAATGCTCGCCCCTTCCCACTCGCGATGGACTGGCTTGAGCATTGTGCACGTCGCCCAAAAACGTCTGGAGCCCCATCGCGTTGAAACCTGACCACAAGTACCCGTTCCACGCGCTCGGGGCCAGCTCCGTCTCGCGCATGCCACAGAGATCATCGTCCCGACAAGTTGGACCAACCCTTTCAATGACATCGGTGCAATTCGTGTCGTCATGATGCACTCGGTCGGCAGCTTGGTGGAGACCAACGGTGTCTGTGTCATCATTGCAAGTGGGCGGAACGTGCCCATGGTTTTGCCGACGAATGCGTCATTCTTGACACTCCAGATCGTAGTTCCCCCTCTGTCGTGTTGTCCAGTTTCCTGTCGATGCCATCACCATCTCTAATGACCTGGGGTCCTGGCGCATTCCTCATGCGACTCATGAGCTCACCGTCGCGTTCTTTATCTCGGGGCACCTTCCCAAACAAGGGCATCGTTTGCTAACCGATATCTTCCCCCGTTTCATGTGTAAAACCGGTGTTGAAACGATCGTAACCGTTCGCGTCGTCCAAAATTTTTAACCAATCAAAACAGCGGTCACCAATATATACGAAATAGGACGATCTTTATCAAAGCTACATTCGGCCCGAAATACTGTAAACTCGCTACAATGGGAAATTATGAAAATTTTCAACTCTCTTTCGAGGTTGAAAGGTCCCAGTGCTCAATCCTGCGAAACCAATTGGTCGACTGAAATGGAGAAATTGTTGTTCTCTTCAAATCAGACATTTTCTCCTTTCCATACTAAAATCAAGATGAAAATCATACAGATGCTGAACAATTATCCGAATATGACGAAACATGATAGATATTGCATGAACCTATGGTGAACTGTTCCTTCCTAGGGCTCAGAATGGGGTTCATACACGACAGGGATGAAAAGTGCTTCACAATAAAGTTCTACAGTTTTAGAGTAAACATAATCTTTCTGCACGGACCGATTCTTCATGCAAGTAACGAGTCATTCATCAGAGAGCATATCGCAAAGCAGTGATTGGATCAGTTCATTGTTGACGATCGTTCATCAATCACTCAATACCATTAGAAAACACTCGATCACTTCTGAATGGATTTAGTTCAATTCAAAATTGAACATCAAAGCAACAATGATCCATCGAAGCAGTCATCAAGGACCTCACGTCGCTTCACCAAACCCGCGAGAGACTGTTCAAAACGCTTCCTCGGCCTCCCGCAACCCTGTTACCCGTAACTCTCGCAAATCCGGCCTCCTAACTGCTCGCGCTATGAGCCAAGGAGTAGCCCTACTCAGCAGCATGCAAGATAATCGTCAAGCCAAACGTGCTCGTTTCTCGACTGTTCGCATGGAAGAACCGGACGTCGATGAGGACTCTACATCTCCTTACTTCGATGCGTACCTGCAAACCCAAGGTGCTGAGGGGATCTTGACTTTGACGAATTTCACGCCAAGCGAGTTTAACCTTCTCTGGGCTGACGTTCGTCACCATGTCTACAAACACTGGAATGTGGGTTCGGGCCGCAAATGTGACGTTACCGCTCGTGACTTGCTTTTCATGCTCGTTACAACTTGCAAGAATTGCGGGACTTGGGGACATCGTCGCTTCCGTCTTCAAACAACCAGTGGCTACGTTCGAAAAGAGAGTCATGAGCTTTCTCGATGTCGTGCATCCATACCTCATGCGCAAGTACGTCGACGCAAATGCTGTCAAGTGGACCATGCAAGAAATGCACGCCAAAGGAATACGATTTGAAACCTACGCATACGGTCGATACGCCACCGATGTGACCTTCCAGCAGACAAACATACCAGTCGGGTCGTATGCGGAGAAGAAACTGTACTACAGTGGCAAGCACCATTTGTACGGACACAAAGTCGAAGTCTCTGTGCTTCCCAATGGAATGGAAATCAACTGCACAAGGCACTACAAAGGTAGTGTGGCTGACAAGACGATTTTTGATGAGAACATCGAGTTCCATCGTACCAACCTTTCGAAACGTCCGAGCGAATTCGACATGTCCGACGAGACTGTGCCAGGCGAGCGACATTCGCAGTGGGCTGTGCTGGCGGACAAAGGTTATCAAGGGATTCAACGAGATGTGCGAGCGGTCATACCTACGAGAAAGCCTGCTGGTGGAATGTTGACGTTTGAGCAACAAGCAACGAATGACCGGATTGCGACGGATCGGGTCGTTGTTGAGAACTTCTTCGGTCGAATGAAGTCGTTGCGGGCTGTGTCAAGCGATATCTATCGCTGGAGTCGTAAGAACTACGACATCATCTTTCAGACCTGTGTTGCTTTGACGAACGTGCACCTACGTTTCAATCCACTCCGCGCAGAGGATGGGGACGTGAATGTCCAATACGTCAATCGTTTGAATGCGATTGGGTCGAAGATGATTAAAGACAAGAAGAAAGCGCAGGCCACGTACCGTGAGAAGCGCAGGACTAGGCTGTCGATGTTTTTGGCATCCGAGTCTGCCTTTGCTGCCGATGCACATGGAAGCGAAACCGAACTTGGTTCCGATAGCAATGATGACTTTGGTGGATCCTATCTGTTCTAAATAGGATTTGTACTAAATAGGAAATTTGCACTTGGTTTGTGTAATTGTTGATAGGTTTTAATAAATAGTGATGAGCAAAATGGTCACCTTTTGTTAAAAATCTCCTTATTCAGTCATTAGGCCACTAACCCAGTGACGGGATAATTGA